AATACGGGAAAGATTTAAATTGTCAAGCAACTTACTCCTCGTTGAGGTTGCAGCCAAATGGTGTTTCTAAACGAACGCGTGGATGAGAGCACAAATACAAAACCAAAAGGACGGACACATTGGGTTTATTGATATCGACGGAAACCATCGTTAGGACACTATATATCAATACATATTAAAAAGTAACCATAATTTTGGGGCCAAAACCGGAACGTCCCTTCTAACCTCCTACATCTGCTTCACGTGGAGAAGATGAGCGCAACGGAAGAATGATACGTCGACAGAAGACAGGTAATTGTCGCAAAGGAATGTGGAAATGTAAACATCATTGCCAAATTTCAGCTTTAATGTATACGAGGGACGCTCGGTAAAACCTCATTCTAATTACCAAAATGCTGGAATAAATTTGTTCTGGAAAAAATGTTATTCATATGAGTGTACGAGTGTAAGATGGTGATACACGCTCGAAAAGATGGGTTATGTGAAGTTATATTAAAATTTATTATTTCCGTGAGGGCAATGTTTCAATTAACAGGATAAACAATTGGAATTGTGTTTTAATTTTGGGAGGACGTTAGATCGACTGGGATATGTAGACGTTCTAACTTTTCGCAATTCAGCAAGTAAGAATAAATGATACTAAGCTGCTTAACATCAGCCTGTCTGTCATGAAAATGTGGGACATTTCTAGAAATAGACGTTTTGAGAGTTTTTTTCTTTGTCAAGAACCTCAATACTGCCATAATTCATAGAGTGACCTGTGGTGTTAATATGTGATGCCAAAGCACATCTGTCTGGATGTAATCTGGCGTCACTTTTGTGTGGGGTTATCCTGCCTTTCAGTGATCTCGATGTTTGGCCTATATAAACTAAATTACAGTTGTTGCAATTAATGCGATAGACAGTGTTGGTTGAATCAAGCAACTGAACCCTATCCTTCATTTTGGAAAACACACTGTTGACTGTGAGAACTGATTTATAAGCAAAACGACAATTAGAGGAATTATACATCCTGATCAATTTTGGTGTTAATTCTTTGATGTATGGCAAGACACCATAATTAACTCTGGAAATAGAAGCATCCACTGTAGTGCTGTCATTCTCATTAGTTTAAGAATTAATGGGCGTCTGGTTGGACAGGACAGTGTTGTCATTGTCACTATTGTTATTCGCAGTTGTCAAAATATAAGGAGGACAGCTGATAATGTATACGAGGGATGCTCGAACACCCTATATACAGGGTGACTTTGAAGTTGAGTCATTAATTTTCAGATAATGATTGTAGAAGGAAGATAAACCAAAATATGTGTGTAAAAATAAAAAAAAAATAAAAAAAAATTTTACCTTGTTTTATAAAGTATCCTCCCGACAAGTATTTCAGTGCGGACCTGTATTTGATCGTGAGGTGCCCTGTGAGATCTTAAGTCACCTGATTCACGAGCCCGTTGTACTACATTAACAAAGGCACGAGGCGTTGGTTGCACTCGATTGGGAAACCGATCCGCATAAACATGTGCCATTTTTTATTTCGTTTGAGCCACGCAACAGACACTATTCACACGCGACTGACACTGACTGTATGTATAACTGAACTTATGAAATAAAAACATCGTTCCAAATTCTTTCGCTTTTTTGTTTCCGATGCGATGAACCGATACGGCGGATTATATCCGTTGTCGCCAAACACGAGGACATAATATTATTATTGAGACAGGGCGGTACTCAAACTTCCAAAGGGCTATAACTTTGTTACTTTAATTTTACCAGAAAAATGGTAAAGGAAAAAAACATTTCTTTTGATCAGATCTACTCACTGTTAAAATAAATGACTCAACTTCGAAGTCACCCTGTATATATATATATACAGGGTTTTTCTGGTAAAATTAAAGTAACAAAGTTATAGCCCTTTGGAAGTTTGAGTACCGCCCTGTCTCAATAATAATATTATGTGCTCGTGTTTGGCGACAACGGAGATAATCCGCCTTATCGGTTCATCGCATCGGAAACAAAAAAGCGAAAGAATTTGGAACGATGTTTTTACAATTATTTCATTCAGTTGTATACAGTCAGTGTCAGTCGGTAGTGAATAGTGGTATCTGTTGCGTGGCTCAAACGAAATAAAAAATGGCACATGTTTATGCGGATCGGTTTCCCAATCGAGTGCAACCAACCCCTCGTGCCTTTGTTAATGTAGTACAACGGGTTCGTGAATCAGGTGACTTAAGACCTCACATATGGACGGCATGCCGGTGCTCCAAGACCTCACGATCAAATACAGGTCCGCACTGAAATACTTGTCGGGAGGATACTTTATAAAACAAGGTAATTTTTTTTTATTTTTACACACATATTTTGGTTTATCATAAGTCACCCATATACAGGGTGACTTTGAAGTTGAGTCATTAATTTTCAGATAATGATTGTAGAAGGAAGATAAACCAAAATAAGTGTGTAAAAATAAAAAAAATTAAAAAAATTTTTTACCTTGTTTTATAAAGTATCCTCCCGACAAGTAGTTCAGTGCGGACCTGTATTTGATCGTTAGGCCTTGGAGCACCGGCATGCAGTCCCCTGTGAGGTCTTAAGTCACCTGATTCATGAGCCCGTTGTACTACATTAACAAAGGCACGAGGGGTTGGTTGCATTCGATTGGGAAACCGATCCGCATAAATATGTGCCATTTTTTATTTCGTTTGAGCCACGCAGCAAACACCACTATTCACTCACGCGTTACCGACTGACAGACTGAATAAAAACATCGTGATCAGCGTTTAAAATTCTTTCGCTTTTTTGTTTCCGATGCGATGAACCGATAAGACGGAGTATATCCGTTGTTGCCAAACACGAGCACATAATATTATTATTGAGACAGGGCGGTACTCAAACTTCTAAAGGGCTATAACTCTGTTAAGTTAATTTTACCACAAAAATGTTAAAGGAAAAAACATTTCTTTTGATCAGATCTACTCAGTGTTAAAATAAATGACTCAACTTCGAAGTATATGCTACTGGGGAATAAAAAGTATGTTCGCTTTTCTCACTGATAAAGCAAAATTGATACAAAAGTGAAGAAAACAAAAATTATCATCACATGTAATGTATCGGATCCCCATCCAAAATCGAAAGTTTCACTCCATGACATGGCATGGGTAAAACATAAAATAATTCCAGTGGCAAGCAACCTCCAAATATTACCAACTGAAAAAATAAATAATGGATTTGAAGAAGGTGTGAAGCACTTTACACATAGGTACTATGCTTTTTGAGTTACAAAAGTGTCCTTGTTATATTGACATTTACGATACGATGAAAATGCATGGGTATGTTTTATGAACCATGAATGAAAATACCATTCTCATAGGACTACTTCCTTTGTAAAGGATGTGTGTTGAAATGATGTACAGTTTTAAAGTAGCTGGAAGAAAGGTTTTATTACCCATTAATTACCATTAGGTACAAATGAGAAAAGTTTATAAGCTCCAGTTATATTCTCACATCAACGTTTTGCACATTTCCTAGTGGCAGAAGTCGTATATGGTTGCAGTAAGTGGCTTATAATGGTCATAAACCCACTTCCAAAGTTTTAGCTAAGTTTTGTGATGCACTCAATGGTTATTATCATTTTAACTTCTGATGACAGCAGGTGGGTAAGTCATATAGTAGCGAAATAATGTCGAATTTATACTCACGTTTGATCACAATTTGTAGAAATGGCTGGATTGTCTAGGCACTTGTTTTTGTTTAAATTTAATCTATCATTTTCATCATAACATGGCTCTATGATTCTCATGAAAAACGCGGTAATGTGCTGTACTATTTCAATTTTTATCGGAAAATTTAGAGAGATGTTCAAAAATCCTAATATTTGAGGAAAGTCCAGCTTGCTTTAGAAATGCTCGACTTTAAACTTGCATTCAAAACTCAGCACAACGGATATATAATCTTGATGAAAAAGGGTGCCGCCTAACTTTACATCATTCTCAGTTAGTCTTGGCAACCAAAGGGGAACGCAGGGTCCACAATATTTGGAATGAAGATGCAGAGGATGCAACAATTGTTGCTTGTGTTAACGCTCGTGGGCAAGCTGTGGCGCCTATGTTAATATTCAAAGGCTTGCGGAAAAAGGACTCTTACTGCGACAATTTGCCTCCTGGGTCGTTACTTGAAATGTCTCCTAAAGGCAGCATGACACGAGAAATATTTCTTAAATGGTTGCAGCATTTGTCAAAGTATAAACCTGCTGGTAAGGTTCTTCTGATTTTGGATGGTGCCTCCTGCCATTTAGATATCTCAATCGTTAAACATGCAGCAAGAAAGCCAATAAGTTTCTTTCATAGTCGTCCGCTATTAATGGAAATCTAACACCTTCTCCTCCGGTTTCGTTGCCACTGAGCGTGTTGTTTGTGGCTATGTGTGCGATGATTTTGAACAAACGTTTTTATACCATACGTTGCCGATCTGTCGGTATCCAGTAATCCTTATCTTCTCGACAATACGGATGAAACGAGAATTTTGACACAGGTTACAGTCATGGTAGAACGAAAAGGAATTTTGAAATAATCTAATAATTGATTTTTGGGAATTGGGATTAGAAATTCTATGATTTAGAAAAAACCAAAGACAAACGGCAACAAATTCAATCAACGTAACCATAAGAAGGCAGAAGGCACGGGGGCCTAAGCATAATCCTGTACAGAAAACGCTATACGTAGCAAACGGTCACAAATACAATTTTTCACAGTATCTCATAAAGAATTGTTTCCGCGGGTGCTACTATATTTAACATGAGCTTGAACTTTCATTATAGGTACGGGTTGAATATGGGCTTCAGCAAAAGTTTTATTTGCCAAACATTAATTAGCTTTGCATAGTTTCAATAACTCGTTTCATTTCAAAGAACACACAGTTTTCCAGTCATTATTAAAAAATCAGTTTAGTCTGGTCTAATGTAAACAAAGCAACATAGGTTTGTTTCATGCAGTGAACTTTAATGAGCCTAAATGACCCTGCTATTCAGCGAAGCCCCGGCATCGCCTGGCGAGAATTGGTCCTTCGAGTCGGATAGTCTTGAATCGCCTCAAGCTTCTGCTCTCCTGCTAAAAAAGTATCGCGATCCTGCCGCCAGCTGGCTGGCGCTTCTGCTACGCTGCAGGACTGATCGAACCGCGCATCGTGAATGTGGCATTTGGCCCCGACACCCAGACGCAGCGCAGCAACTTTCGATTTCATCCGAACGAATAGACGCCCGCTCGTTTCAGTTCGCCTTTCAACTGTTTCAGTTTACCGCCGAAGTTGATTCGCGCCGCAGGAACATGTGACAATCGCTCGCAATCTTAGCACGAACAAAACAATCAATACGTATCTCTGCGATCCACGGCCTACTGTTTGAAATCGCGACAGAAAAATATACGAATATCGTGCTGCTGTCTTGGGTGGCTGGTGTATCATTCTAGAAACAGAAGAACCTCGAGCCTGACGCAATGGATAAAGGAACGGAGGTTTTTTAGAAATAAAGGTAAACTAGTATGTTGCTTAAGCCCATAAACATGTGTTCATGTGTTGCAGAACGGTTCACCGAATATTGAGAAGCGTGATTCCGTTTGTGAATGTTTAATCTTGTTCGAATGTTGTGTTTCTGTATAGAATCGGTGCGCAATTTGATATTCACGGCGGGTGTGCAAGGTTATGTAGTGGTACTGTTTTCAAGAGTAGAGTCTAGATCAAGTCAGCTGCCTGTATTGGTGATAGTACCATACAATCTTGATTCTTTATTTACGCCAGACGATTTAGCTTTCGTATTCACTTGTTGGAAGTTCGATAGGGTTCCTTGTAAAGCAATACTTACAATCGCATTGATACCTCAATTTTTGATATTTTGTGAGTTATTTTACTTAAAAAAAGACCTAGAATGCCTCGGTCTGTGTCTCTATAAACCAAGCCTTGAGCTGTATCAGCAAACTCAGAAACTGATGCAGGTCTAATCTATACCGTAGTAAGAAAAATAATTCAGTCATAATAGAGTAAAGTAATCAGGAAACTAAGATCATATTTGTAAAGATAAATAGTTGAGCGGTTCTAGCACAGCTTTACCTCATTATACTCGTAGTGTGTAAATGCCATACCACAGTGTTTCTCAGAATTTCGCCCAATTTTCAATCCCAATTATAATCGTATTTTAAGTTTCATTACTTTCTTGATAGACAACCTTAAAAATTATCTACTTTTAGTAAACTCTGTTGCAATAAACATCAGCATACATCATGGCATTTAAAAAATTAAATAAAACTAATATTTTTTTCGGAATACTCACGGTCTTCCTTTATTTTTATACCGCTCCCTTAGGGAAGCATTCCCCTCCGGAGGAGAATCACTGCCATAACACCATAAAGATAAATAATTAGCAAAGATCAATGGAGTGCATATAGCTTTGCACGGCCTACTGTCTCCTGATGAGTACCACGTGAGCATCAAAAGAGGAGTGGAAGACGACCAGTCCAAGAGCTACAATAGGATATTCAGGCTTTCAAACAGTATAAATACTAAACTCTGAAAAAAATAAAGACCTAAGAAAAGCAGGCGTATATTTGACTGGCTAGTTATTATTCAAAGTAAACCAACATAAAATAGTGTTTAGTGTATTAAGCCCTTTATGCAGGATACACGGAAATATATATAAGAGACTAAAAAACAAATTATCACCGAATATCCCGTCCTAAGTGATAGTTAGACCAAAGGATTGTCAAGTTTTATTTTTTTTAAATCGAAGCAGACGCACAGGCCTAAATGCCAGACTGGCTGCTATGGGGATCCCAAAGAAATTATGTTCATCCGATTTTTGAACTGCCTAAGGTTAATAGAACTGGGAGAAGCTTCCTCTTGTAGATTGTCCCACAATCTCGACACCATCGGGACAAAGGAGCGGTCGTAACGGCCAGTTCTGGAGGTACGAAGTTCGACACGGTTAGGATGGGAGGCCAAAGTCAGGCGGCGGCATAATGGAGGAGAGCTCCGAAGAGTCTGTTGGTGTGGCGGTAGAGGAGAGCTAGATCGCCGACGGCCCGCCAGTGAAGAAGAGTCATCGACCAGTCGGGCAGCCCTCCTCCGGACAGCATTGACCATAAATAATGTAGTCGGAGTGGCAGCACCCCAAACGTGTAAGCAATTATCGAGGCTAAGGCCCGTATCGTCAGTCGTCCCTACAATTGTAGGGCACCTTTATGGCCTCCTTGATCGTCATATAGTTTTCTACTTCTCCGTGTCAGAACGCTATTTTGAGGTTATGTCACAAAGATCTATTTGCATCAAATTGTGCTTGCTTTTGAGTTATATCATGTTTTATCAGCCTGAAATTTTCTACAATTTAAAAAGAAAACATATCTTCACAATAGGAGAGCGCTGACGCTGACACGGGACAAGTGTAATCTAGAAATTTTTGAAGGAGAGAAAGGAGTATGACAATCAAGGAGGCCATAAACGCGCCCTTCAATTGTAGGGACAACTGACGATACGGGCCTAAGTCTTATCTGGGCCTTGTACAGATTGAGGAGGTCATGCGGAGAAAAGTACTTCTGAGCCCTAAACAAAACAAAGCTTAACTTTTTCCCAGCAGCTGCCGTTATTGAGAGATGTGTTAGATAAGTCCTTGCTCATCTGGACTTCGACAAGCCGAAATAAATAGCTCTTTGGTATAACTCGGCCGTCCGGCGTTAGAACGCTTTTTCTTCGTCAGGGCACAGTAATGTGTTTTGAAAGCATTAAACTGTACAAGATTGTTGCGTCCCCAAGCAGTAATAACCTCCAGGTCTCTCGTGAGCCGCTGCTAGTCTTCTTTTTTCCAGCTCACCGGTAGAGATCGGCTTATCGCTCTAAATTCTTGCAGGTAGAAAGCTGTGGATTGGGTTGATCGTACAGGAAAGGAAGTCCTTGATATGTAAGAGAAACAGTGTCAGACCCAAGATCGATCCATGGGGAGCATCCGCGTTTAAGTTGTGGGATGAAGAGTAGAACCCGTCAATTACGACGCATATCTTGCGACCAGAGAGAAAGTCAGACACCCTTCTGCAAAGCTTCTCTGGTAGGCTATAGGATGGAAGTTTGCATAAGAGGCAGGGGGCCATGGCTGATCGAGCGGTTTCGTGATATCAAGAGCCACGAAATGAGTCTCAGCATAAGACTTGATTGGTTGAGTCTACTCCACAATTGCGTGACTTAAGCTACGAGGTCCTGTGGATCGCTGGTGCCGGAAACCATACTGCCTGTCACTAATCAAGTCGTGAGATAATCCAGAAGCTCGCAATTTATGCACCTCTCCATCATCTTACTTATAACAGAAAGCAGAGCTATATGCCTGTAGTTGTAAGGTTCGGTCTTAGATAATTTTTTTGGGAAGGGTTGGTCATGAGCAGGTTTCCAGTTTTCTGGGAAGGTGCCGGATTCGTCCTCTCTAATACAACTGCAGGAATCAAGTTCGGACCAGACGCCTTGTTGATGTCAAGCAACACGAGTACCCATCTTACGGTCTTATGGCTAATGTTAGTTCCCGCATAGGGTAGTCAAATCGACCGCAATCGGGTAGTGCCTACTAAGTATGAGTCCACTTGGTACTAGAAAATACCGACGGCTAATCTACGAGGGTATATAGGTAGACATTCTTATTTTTTGCCTCTAACTCGAAAATTAATTTATCGCGTGTCAATTCACACCTTTTATTAGGCCATTAGCTGTTTCATTTGCATTATGAATTGCCGTTTAATGGACAGTCTTTACTGCAAGAATAAATCATTAGTTGTCAGAGATTTGGTCTGTTAAAGCATGGTAAAAGGAGTTCAATTACCAGGATTGGATTTAGCTCAAATGCCAAGCAGGATGTGATGAAATAGTAACTTAGGCACGCACTTATTATGTTAAGAGAAATGTTATTAAGGTAGTTTTTTTTTAATTCGTGATTGAGTATCGTTGATACATACATATTTTTTCAAATGACAGCATACCCCGTTCCTTAACTCTGAAAGTGGAGAGGTACGGTTTCACAACACTTTCGTAAGCTTAACGTTGAATAAATCTAATTTTAATCTCTTGAAGTGTGCAAGTTTTTATAATACTAACAATAGGGCCGCAAGTAGGTGTTTTGTTTGACTAAATTATCAATACCATTTTTTGCCCATCTACACCGTGCTCATTGTGCATGAGAATCATCTTCGACTTAGCAGTTTATCGCAATAAATGAAATAGACTTACTGAAAAATCTATAGAAGTCATATCGGAAATCACAAAATGTGGAAAATGTAACAGATTTTAAAATTATATCCACTACTTCTAATATCTAATATGAGTAATATTCATTAACCGTTGCATGCAACAATAAATCGTCTTCATTCACCTATGGTTAAGACGTCTTATAGAACTCAAAACGTTCAGAAATACAGACCCAAAATTCATTAAAGCATCATAACAATTAATTTTTTGCTTAACTATAATTATTCTTCTAGTAATTTATTACACAGTTTATAGTATTATTAGAATAATGAGTGGAAATACCAATGCATTTAATTTTTTATCCGTGAAAAAACTTGGTGATATGAAAGAAAGCAGATTTGTATCAAGTTCGGAATTTAAATTGGATATTTTAATATTTTTTTAAAGTGTATTTAAATAAAACATGCTACAGCATTGTAAAATATATACTGAGAACCAAATTTGTCTGACGGCTTGAGTTGTGTGTACCAGACAGGAGTTATTATGTAAGAAAGAGATAGAAGCTGGCTGGATAACCAAGCTCATCACCGTGTCTCGCAACGCTGACGCGGCAATGTGCTGCGCTGCCAATATGTTACACCAATTCCTTGAATCAAGATGCATGTTGAAAATATGCGTTAGTTTATTGTCTATGCCCAAATAATAGTTTCATTCTCAGCGCACTCATTTTTTAATAGTGGGTCGAAATGAATGGTCGGGATCGCCACAAATTCTGCAACATTGCATAGTTGGTTCGGTTGGCAACACCTCATCTGGTAAATGAGCGATTTTGGTCAGTACCCATCTTGCGCTCATTGAGGAGTGTCGTCCTGCTTCGAAAAGATTTTCACCTGCGAACACGCAGACAGTGATAATTTATATTGCTTAATGGTATTGGTTACATTTTCAGACCGCTCGCTGTTACAAAATGTAGCAATAAATGTGTTGATTTTATCACCATCCGTGGAAATCAAAGATAATTGTAAAATAAAATAAAAGACCGAGTTGCATCAAAATTGAAATAATTAATTTCCTCGTTGGGTTTGACAGTAACCTAAGCTATTGTAGAAGTCTGTGCGAACATTTTCTGGTGTAACATATTGGCGACGCGACAGATTGCACGCCCTTGTGCGTCACCGTCGCTAGGCAATGTGGTGATGACCTTCGCTCTTCAGGGCTTCTATTCCGTTCTAACATGTGTTGATACACACTTCTCGCGCTTCTCTCTCATACACATTGAACTCAAGCCGTCAGACAAGTTTGGTTTTCCCTTTACAATAT